TTCGTAATATCCAGAGCACAAAGAAGTGCGAAACTCATCTTCAACTTATTCATGGTGCGCAATTCTAAACTACACTTGTTTAATGTTCACAATCGTCTTATGCTGGTATACCGCTCGCATATCTTCCCAAACTGCAGGAAGCGAGACCACACATGCCTAGAGAACGTATAACGCTCATTCACCTACAAATCTCTTCGACCCGTCCTTCGAGCTAGATTTCTCCGAGTGTTGCAGTATGCTGCATTTGGAACCATTGTGGTTAAAATGTGCGAGATCAGGCCTAAAATTCATGTTTGGTTTAGTCCACAAACTTCTATTCACAACCACATATTACAATTCACTTCAAAGCGGCAGGTAGTATGCACTTACGAATGCCATGTATTCACTCCCAGTGTTCATAAAGCAAACTAATGTCCGAAGATTATACTTACACCTATACACAGGAACCGCATCTTGTTGAAATAAGAGATTGTGAATCGCAACCAGCACGCAAAAATCAGTACCAACAAAGTCGCAATGAAATTACAGCGAAAAAATGCTATTTGATGAGGGGCTGTGACATGCGTTTCTTGATTACAAATAGGCATATAATTATCCCACCTATAGCATCTTTGCTTAGTTAGCAGTCCCAAAGGAGTGCATTTAAACACACTGAAGGGAAAAGTTGACAGAACCTCCTTCACTTGGGACAGTATATCACACAAGCACACCAAAGGTTGTCAGTTGTACAATAGCTACAACATGAGACCGTCTCCACTGTTCACATTCTGTGGAGTGGAAAGGAAGTTTTGATTGAATCCATCTATGTTCATTCGCGTTTACATTTCACTTAATTGTCTGCCCGACCACGCTTTCCTTGTGACTCTCATGTAACGCGTCCGGCTGGCAATAAAACGCTAAACTATTCTGATTTCTGCATTTTCATCTCTATTTCCCATGTTTTCTTTCACTCGCCTCCACCTGATGTACTGTTTAACTTCAACACACTTGTATTGCAATAAAACAAGAAGAAACAACATTTTAACAGAATTTACTGAATTCAGCAATTTCGCGTATTCTCATCAGCTGTTTACTTACAGTTAGTGGAAAACAGTGCGATGTTAACAGCAAAAATTTCGATGCGGTCGAAGGTCCTTAGGCTCACGTGACCCGTTCCGAGGAAAACGCAATCACTAGCCTCACCAGGGCAGGGCTAGTTACTGCCTCATGCATTTACCTCTTTAATTGTACTTGCGGTAGTAAGCACATAGGCTGAACTGAGAGAAGGCTGTCAGCGAGTATTGCAGGGCATGTTCCGCGAAACATAATCGCTAAGGGTCCGAAGCTACCGAATAGCTCTATTTCCCGCCACATACTTGACTGCTTTGAATGCCAAAACCCATGTGGCAATTTCAGGATAGTTAGCAAACAAGCTAATTCCCGCTTACTACACTTTGCGGAGGCGGCTGAAGCCAAATCTCTGCAAGCAAACGGATTTCTTGACCACGCTAGCCCTACCCTGGTGAGACTAGTGATTACGTTTTCCTTGGAACGGGTCACGTGAGCCTAAGGACCTTCGACCGCTTTAAATTTTTACTGTTAACATCGCACTGTTTTCCATTAACTGTAGGTAAACAGCTGACGAGAATACGCGAAATTGCTGAATTCACTAAATTCTGTTAAAATGTTATTTCTTCTTGCTTTGTTGAAATTCGTGCAGGGAAATGCCTGTATGCAATTTCTAAAGAAACGTTTGTATTAGTTGAACAGCACTAACCGAGTGCGCCTCACACATCTCTATACAAACATCTCCTTCTGGCTGTCTCGGCCGTTGTGTATAGCGGCTGAACTGAAAAGGAATAAATACGTTCCCTTTTCCCTACCACTCTTCTAGCATACGATAATGTACGAGAAACCTGCTGCTTAAATTCGATGTTATAGTTTGTTTTTGAAGTTGTGTTTTCGTGTCCCCCTTATCACCACACAATTGCTCTTCATCTTTTACTTTACGGTATGTACACCGGACCTTGAGGAAATATTCTGTACCCCTTGCTGTTTCGCAATTTCAACACTCCTTACAAACAATGGAAGAAGCATAAAGTATGTCTTACTCTAAACAAGCTACCCAACCAACACTAACCGACCTGAACGCAGCGAACATTGGAAAGTTGGCCGACGAATCATTTCAGACATCAAGAAAGCTGGATTCACGCGGTCCCCATTCATTTACCTGTCCTGAGTTACTATACTTGATGGCTCTTGTATGGCATTACGTTATACAGATCAACCAGTCCCGAGGGTTTACGGAAGGTTATAAGACCGAATCTTACTCTTTCTATTTTGTCTCGTACTCAACTTCCCTACCATTGTGACTTACGCTTTCTGATCTTGCTGTTTACGTAGAAATTCGGATTGCTCCTCTTTCGTCTTCCGGGTATTTGCCCCTTTTAAACTCTCCAATCTGCACGGTGGTCATGGGATTTCCAACATTACCACTTTTGATACATTTGCCCTCATATAATTGGCTACCTCCACACTCATTTTGCTCCAGCCACGGAAGGATGCCGTCGAGCATCATCATCATCTTCATCATTTCACATGCTAGTTAGGAGTGAGAAAGACCTCAGCTATTGTGCCGCAATACAATTCTATCAGGTAATAGTAACAAAGAAAAGGAAAAAAGAAAAAGCAAGGCAATTATAACACTGTTGTTTACATTATGCATGAAAAACGAAATCGTGGTTAAAGAAGGGGGCTAAGCGGTTTGGTATAAAGCGACTCAAAACTCATACGCGCCACTGAAGTCAGCTGTTCGCCATGTCAACAAATGCATCTAACCACACGTGTTCATCCTCTTTCGGACACCCCTGCCGGGAAGTCGAGAGGTGCCATCCGAAGTCAACTTCGAAGTGCGAGTCTTGATTTTCATTGACCAAGTTATCGGTTTGCCTCCACTCCCAGGTCGCGTAAACAACGCATGTCGAGGGAGTCGTGGTTCCCACTGAATGTATGGATAACCTCTCTGAGTCAGTTGTGCCTCCCCCAACTTCAAAATCAGCCGAACCGAGGGATTTCTACAGTATGAGAGCTTGGCGCAATAACTAGGTTGTAGGCAACTAATAAAGCAACATTATTGGAGATTCCAATTAATATTACTTAACACTAACGGTTCAAGTTCATGGTCTAACTTGCAGCTGATCCCACATCTCTTCGCGTTTTGATCTCTACTCGAGTTCGATCTCCAAGTGTAGATCGATCCACTCTTGAGCCACTGCTCACGGCTTGAACGGTGGGTGGAAGCTACCTGTAACACCAGGTCGCGCAAACAACGCATGCCGAGGGATGAGTGACACATGCATCAACCATCGGGGTCTGGCGCATGAAATAATGGTACTGAGCGGTTCAGATCTTTTCTTGTGCCATAAACGCTCATTACGCACATGGTTCTCCCATCAGATGTGAGCTAAACTGCGAAGACACCGGTGGTCGAATATAACAAGCCTTTTTATGTCTCGATTTTATGGGACAGGACCGGTTTCGCACCCGTACGTGGTGGTTGAACGGACGACTACATTGTAGACTAGCCTTCAGGACAGCAGCAATGTCGCGCCGGCGCCATAAGTGGCAAAGATTGGCTAGATGCACCTTGAGCCTTTGCCATACGATTCGTGATATCATCTTCGATCCCACAGGCACTAATGCAGCTCCCCAGATTTGGTCGAATTTCTGTACAACTGCTAACTGATCCCCACCAAGGGCCAGCGCAGGAGCAGTCTCTGCCAGTTTTGAGCAAAGCTTTACATATTGGGGGTGCAAAGCACGTCCTAAACGACAGCCAGTATTAATCTAGCCAATGCTGCTTGGCACGTTTATGAACTGTCACCGAGTAGCACATTTTCTTCGGTGCACTTCAAGTCGAGAAGTCGATCATCTGCAGAAAACTCCACATTGTAGGGATGCCGTCGAGCAATGACCACGTTAACTGCTGGTTAGTGCATCCTCTGTAACATTACCTTTACAACATACCATTTAACTGTTTTCACTCATTCGCTACTCTGCGTTCGTCTTTCACACTTCACAGGTGGACATCGTGTTTGGACTGACGAAACCTTGCTCGTCGATCATCACATCCGAATTCGGTATCACGAATGCGTCAAGCCCTGTAACTGTTGGTACATCTGTCAGGACGACTACTTCCTTGCATTCTACAGGCCTCTTCCTGTTGGGTATCCGCGGGGATCGACATCTGACTGTTCGGATCCCGTCCCTCATCGCCTCAGTTGAGTGGTCCGCGCCATCTACTGCCTCACGTCTGTGGGCCAACATTGCCGGTGTCGATAATCCCTGGTCGGTTTGCTGCCTCCGAGATCGACTAGAGGAAGTAAGCCATTCGTTCCCAATATGTTTTGGTAACTGTGGGCATTTGCAAAGGTACCATGTGAGTTTCGGTATTCATATTGTCTTCCAGCTGATGCAAGCTCCTGATCTGTTGGCTCTGGAGCGTTATATGGGTGTCCCCGCGGAGCAGTTCCTGAGTGACACCCTGTCAGTGATCATTCCCCTTGGCCCTGGACACCCTGATGATGCACTTGACGTGGACGAGGACACTGAACTAATCAACGTGAACACATCAAAAGCTTTGGCCTCCACCTTGGAAATTCTCGTACACAATGCTAGTGGCCATCGGCCAATCGAGGTATCCATTACTACGTTCCTCTCGTCGTTTTCTCCCTACTCCTTCCCGAGTGTATGCTTATAATTATACCAGCACTTCTAACTATGGTCTAGGTGTGAGCTTCAGCATGATTGATCGGCTCCAATTACGGTCCAGATTGGCTGCCATTTATTTTGGGCATTCCCAGCGTGGATTCTTATCTTGAGCTCTTACGGCTTTACTGCAAGCCGTCTGGAGCCCATCCTGCGTGCTTCACTATCGGTGCTTAATTTGTCGAGATTTGATCAAGTGTGTTTTTGTTTGTGGCCGTGATATCGACCAGAATTGCGTTCCCACGTGCTTTTAATATGTTTCCTCACCTAGTCAATACTTTCGTGTAATCAAATGAGGTTCGCCTACACGGATTTACGCTTTTGCTAGTCAGGCAATTTCTTTACTCTCTATGCTCCGTCCGCTTGTTTCGGTGCTAGTCTGTCAAATTCCCTCGTATATTATTGCTTCGGGTAACTCATAGTAAATTCAACCCAGTAAGCTCTTTCACATAGCACTGGACACGTTTCTTCATCGGTATACCACCTCTGCTGCTAATGACTCAAACGATAGTGCCACTCACTAAGGCGGCTCTGTGTATTCTATTTTTAGGAATCGAGTTTAGCTACTTCTCGATCTACCTAGGATACTCAGTTTCCGCCCATTTGATGTCAAGCAACCCGCTGCACCGCGCTATTCTGCTTCTGATCTCTATGAATTGGTCACAACTAACGAATGTGCCTCAGCCGGAAACCGATACGGACATTTGCTGTGAATGACTTTGGGCGTTTTTGCAAGACTGTCCATCGCAGCCTAAGGCAGTTACCACACATTTAGAAGTGTTAGATGGCCGTTTCATCCTAATGGGATTCGTCGGTCGTACGCATCCGCCGGATTCGAATCTATGACCTTGATCTTAAGCGTCAGCGACTTAAGTCAATAACTCATTGGTGACGGCTGCGGACAACCAAGACTGATTTATAATTGTATCATAGTGCAGCTTCTCCTTATGTTACGGCACTCTGATGATCATCATCCTGATGCAGTTTATGAACCCTATCACTTAATTGTGGATAGATACTTGTTTTCAATGACGATTTCTATTGTTATTCTCTAGCGTAACCGTTACTAACCAGTTGTTGGCGTTTGCGGCGCCGATTGGCCGAGCAATTCCTTGCTTGTTCTGTTGATGCTTCTCGATGGAGCTCGGACCATTGTGCTATGAAATCGGCTTTTGTCGGTTTGCATGCTATGAATTGCAACTCGGCTACGCTCCATCGCTCCTTGATTCACCACGGCACGGTCCAACAAATATGTTATTCTTTTGTACTTCACTCCCAATCGCCTGATTTCCTCACTGAATGATCGGGCGAATTAACCTCAAGTTACCTTTTATTAATCCTCCACGTCCATTGTCCTCCTTCCATTCACTTTCTACGATGTACTATATCCTGATACTTCGCTGCTGGGGAGTCGATTGTTGCTGACTTTTGCTTTACTCCTTCGCAATATTGGAATTGGTAACAATTCGTCCCATCTAAACTCAGTCAGATAGCCATCACACGATCGGAACAACGCTGTACGACCGTTTCTTGTTTTTGGGAATCATCAGCAGCGCGTATTCCATCTTACGCCTGTGGGATTCGAGCACGCAACTTGACTGCTGCCAATCTGTGGTTGAGACCACTGAGCTACCGAGGACTGTAACCACCGACGTTACCAAGTTACTAGATGTGATATAGCGCCGCTCACTGGGTTTAGGTGTGATGGATTTCCGCCTACACCATTCATCTCCACCCCCCTACTCCCTTGTAATCAGTATGCAGACCAAACTGCTTATAAAGCCATAAGTTAAGTGGCGGATTAACTTCGGTAAGTTCGTCTCTTGCTGAGGACGATACTCTTTCCTTTGCACCACAGTAACTTTCAAGTCAGCGGACAGTGAGCGGCGCTATATCACATCTAGTAAGTTAGTCACAACGGTCGTTACCGTCCCCCATAGCTCAGTGGTCTTAACTACAGACTGGTGACAATCGAGTTGCGGTTTCGAGTCCCACAGATGGAATGCGCACTGCTAATGATTTCCGCTAGGGTAAAGCGGTCCTACGGTGCTTTTCTGGTCCTGTGATCGCTGTCCGACGGAGTCTGGATGTGATGAATTTCTACCTATACTATTCATCTCCCCCTAGCACTATCTTGTAATATTGAATTTTCTCGCTGATGTTTTTAAACTAATGTTTTCCCACATATCCCTCCGAACTGCACAGTCTATCCATCGGGTGTAGTTTGCTCGTCAACTTCTTTGTTTTACTTATCCGTTCCAGTACGTCACCAGCCAGATGGTCTTATCACTAATCCGGAAAAGCACCGGACGATTGTTTCGCCCTATTGGCACTCGTCAGTTGTGCGCATTCCATCGGTTTCCTTCAGAGAACCGAAGCCATGGCCGCTAGCAGCCCGCACTAACTAGCCAGCAGCATATGCCACTGCGTCATGGGGGGGGGGGGGACGGTAGCAGTCCGTCATAACTTGCAAGCTAACTGGGATATTTCCCGATCTATCTGGTGGATTACTTGGCTTATGAGTTTCCGAGACGAATCAGTGCAATGTCGCCAAAAGATCTCTAATGAAAGGAAGTCATAGCCTGGAGGCTGGCCACTGTCATCTGCACTGGTAGGAACCTGCGTGGTAGTGAAACACAGGTCGCACCACATCCCATTTAGCTTGCAAATTATGTAGCCCAACCACCGTCACCCATGGCTCTGCGGGCTTAAGCTCCTGGCTAATTGGCGTCAGCCTCTAGCAATCATGGGTTCGATCCCCAGTAGGGGACCGAGGGAATGCGCACCACTGTCGAGCCCCAATAGGGCGAAACGCGTCTGGTGCTTTTCCGGATTGTGGCCGAGCTATGTAGCTTGTGAACTGCTGGGACAAAAACCTTAAAATATCATACTCGTTAATAATTTTCCTGTTGTCAACTTTACTCCTTGACGCTACCTATGGTTACTTGGTTGTGATATCTATCGCAGTGTGCTAAAGAAGTCGATCATCACTGTCTATCGACCTGTGTACTATGTTGCGATCTGGTTGTAATAACAATATTAATAGTACCAGTAATTTGCCCTCAATTATTACGTGGCACGCCTTCCGTGACATGATCCAGTACTACGTGCTCTGTTTTATGAAGCTGTCACATGTTCATTGGCAACACGAGTCATCTCATCCGTTTCTCCGTTTGCTCTCACTCAGTACGTATTGCTTCTCGTTGGAGATTTTGTCCTTTTTACCCAGATGTTCCTTCTGAAATTATTACTGAGCGGTGCTTCGCAACATTGAGCGTATCACTATTCTCCAAGAAATAACCGACAACTGTTACCTGATCCACATGCCGAAGTTAACGAGCCAGCTTCTTTTTGCGAATTTTGCCTCGGTAGACGGCTTTCGTTGTGGCGTCCCCAGCTTCCACTTTGCGAAAGTATTGGGTCACGAAGGAGTCTCCGCTTGACCTTTCCTTTCTATGTATGTTGTTACTCGTTCATTGAGGCACTGGACAAGAAAAACCGTTTACTTCTTCCTACACATTAGCTCCCCACTGGAAATTATTAGAGCCTCAACTCAGTGCGCCGTTACAACTGTGACCGGCGCCTGCTGATCACACTCTCGCTAGGCTGGCTACATTCCCTTATCACGCTACCCGACTCTTCCAAGGTACCACATTCCCCAGTGAGCCACAATGTATGCATTTAGTCATCCATCGTGCGATTGGAACTCCACTGTATCTCGCTTCACCTTCTACTAACTTTATGCAGATCATTCTAATTGACAGTAGCCCTGCCTACCACTCTAAGAGGACGCCATCCTCAGCATCAGTCATCGTGGACAAAACCCGATTCCGGACTACGCGACTTCGCCCAATGATCACGGTCTCGTGTCACCATTACGAATACAATAACACTACGAGCACACCGAAGCCTCCGAGGCGTGGCGAGTTGATTCGATACGCTGTGGATCACTTTGCCAGAGGATCCACTCTACTCTTTATAGAACCTGGTGAGTGCAGGTTAAGTATTCTCATCGGTGTCTCGAATTTTCCACCTTGACAAGCGTCAACGCCTGGCTTGAACCAACGAAAATGTCTATGTCTATGTACTTCATGTAACTGTCTACCTAACAATATTGATTTTCAAACATGTTGACCTTGATTATCCTCTTAAGGTGACCAAATTACGACACCTATACTTGGGTCACATTCGTGACATCATAGTGAGAATCACTAGCGCGGCAGCAAAACGTGAAACTAGACGATAGTTCGCACTCAGCTACAGCTTTCTGATCAATCAGTTTTCGACCGAAGCGTGTGGTATACAGTGCTGCCATCCGTCCAGACCCCTTGTACGGTTGCGAAATCTAAGTGACAGACACTGATACTGTTTACGTTCGACCACCGATACGTTCGCAGTTTTGCTCATCTAGGGTGGATACACCATATGAGCAATGAACATGTTGGACGTTTTGTTTATAGCGCGGAAAGAGGAAGTGCATGCGCTCAGCACTGCTATTTCACGCACCAGGCTCTGATGACTGGTTCATGTGTTACGCATGCCAGCACACACCGACTTCCTCGGTGTGTGTTGTTTGCATGACCGCCTCTCAAGGTTGGAGCCTCACAACTTTCTGGTAGGCGTCCGATGTACTTGTTTGGCTGATTCGTCGCAGCTAGACTGAGGCAGGCTGTCTGTCTGAGTCTAACTGCGACGAATCTTCACAAAAACCCAATAAACCCCCTACTACTCACTAATAACGTCGGGCTGGATACACTTGTTGACATGGCTAGGAGCCAACCTCACTGGTGTCTGTGTTAACGGTTTCTTTATTACTCTTCTTGCAATCAGGACTTCATCCGTGATGCACAGTAATGCTTTCCTTTCTACGTCTGTTGTATTGTGGCACAATAACTATGTTTATGATCATGGGATCTCAACCGTTATCGCATATCCATCCAGTGATCGTGCCATCTCTTCCACGACCATTTGATCCCCAGTAGGGGACCAATGGATGCGCACCACTGACGAGCCCCAATAAGGCGAAACGCGCGTCTGGTGCTCTTCCGGATTGGTAACTTACATATGCGGCTTGGAATCTAACTGCGATGAATCATACCGAAATCCATCTACTCATTCGCATTCATCCTACAGTCAGACCTGTCCGAGGCGACCACTCCTGGGGACCGACAAAAAGTGTTCGCTTTGGACAGGTGGTCACCATGGACAGGTTCATGCGTAGGCGACACTACCCATAATCGACTTCACCTGTGTGATACACCTTCAAATTGCGAACTAGATCTGTAAACCGACTGCCACTACAATCAGTTTTAGCTTCTACTTAAGACAATCACAGTTGTAGTGTATACTGTGGGATACATGAGTAATAATACAATCTACAGTTTATGAGTCAACATTATAAAAACTCACCTGCAGTACATCAACATTTAAAACCTTTGGCAATGACTAACACACACATTTGTATTGTCATAATCATTTTCCATCAAATGAACAAAATCAACTATAGTGGTCTGTTGCCTGGCAGTTGAAGTGAAAGCTGAATTTAGTTTTTTTCTCACGTTAATGATAAGTTCAAGCATGCCAGCCTGTCCGCTATTTATTGCGTAGGAGCGCAAAATATCAACAGCACCCTGTGCGTCTGTGAATGTATACGTTGTCAGAACGTCTGTAGAATCTTGTTCCTGCTCGTCATCTGATTCACCATTCACATCCTCAGCTGCTAAAATTGATGTGGCAGGCAGGTCCCAGTTTATTTATGTTGTGTTACAGGTTTGGAGATAAGAATTAACCATATGACCGTCAACCAGTTGGAATCCAAACAATTCCTTTGAAAGAATATCTTAAAAAATGAAAGTGGCTGAAGGAGATATAATTAGCTTATATGTCCCAGGTGCGGTTTGCATTACTCTCTGAGAATTTATTTCTGCAGGACAAGTAAATCCCGCTTTACAAAAGCACTTAGAGATTCTTGTATTCTCCACCTCCTTCCACGCGGCAGCTATCCAAAACACGACGTCCAGTAGGTTTACTCGTTTCACGAGTTCAATTCCGGACATATCTTTGTGCAATTCCATCATCGTAATAAGATGTAGGCTCTGTCTTTTCCTAAACTTCAATTTAAACGCTTGAATAAAACCTTGGTCGAGGAGTTGAACTTACGCAGTGGTGTTAAGTGGCAGGAACTGCAATTTGACATTAAATAGCTAGAATTTGGGAAGGCAAGTAGCATTGTCAACAAACAGTATGATGTTGCGCCTCTTTTTCCGCACTTTTCTGTCAAAACTTTAAAGCAGCTCTTCGAAAATAGCTGCAGTCATCCATGCCTTTTTATTATTTTTCTAAACTACCAGTAGTTTTTCGTGTTACTGTTTCTAAAAATTCGTGGGTTTGCTGATTTCCTAATCACTACGGCCAGTTCTCGCTTCCCCAACGCGTTAGTGCACAGCATAACTGTGATACGCTGCTTGCTTCTTTCCCCACCTGCGCGTTTCTCTTCTTTGACAAAAATGTTTCATCCGATGTCGCTTTGAATAACAAACCGGTTTCATCTAAATTAAACTTGTCCTGAGGTGTGTAACCAGAACATATTTCGGGTAATTTTGCTGTCCAGTCGGATGTAGCACACATATCTGATTCACCGCTTTCGCCCGATTGCTTACCAAACACAAGGTCGTGTCTACTGATGAAAGCCTGCAGCCAAACGTTTGACACTTTAAAGATCGAGTTTGATAATTCTGCAAAGTGCAATGCTCGTTCTTATGTCGCGGGTCCGGATAATGGTATTCTTCTCGCCAATGCTAACTTGCACCATTTCCATAAAAATGCGTTTATGTCTTCGTTACTTATTTTTCTTCCATTCTTTCTTCTCAGTCTCGGTGCGTTGTTCTCAGAATCATTCAAAAACTCGACTTTCTTCTTTAAAGTTAGAAGGATTTGTGTCTTTCCTACTCCGAAATTTTCCGCTAATGTTCGCGAACTTTTTCCTTTGTGACTTTGTCGAATCACTGATATACTTTCTTCAAGTGTTCATGCTTATTGGTTTGCTGGTTTGGAACTAGCCATTTTGTCCTACGTAAGAATCTTCAAAAAGAACTATAAAACGTGCATGTATATTCACTTAGGTTGTACCTCAACAGTACGCGCTCAGTGCTGACAACCGACTGAGTACACAGTAAAAAAAAACCACAGATTGTGATAGTCACGGTACTTGCAACTGTATCACGAAACCCAGAGTGCGCGAGGGGAGTCCCACGGCTCTTTTGTTGGTTCACTGCACAGCCCATAGCGGGATACATGCGTTGGTTAGCTAGGGTAATATCCAGGGGAGTAATGTGTCACTGGACAAGTCTGGTGTGAAGGCAGTGTGACCCCTGGGGTGAGAATAAACCAGTGGTATTGGGGGAGTTACGCAACGTGAACTGGTCAATTGCGACAGCGGGGTATTTACAAGCCTTTGGGTAACCGCATAACGAGGCACAGAATGCGTGAATCTGAGCGATAATGAATCAGTGCATAGCATATGGTGTGGTTTTGGGGCAACTTTGACACCTAGAAACGAAATCTAACTACCTGTGCGATACAGTGGCAGACTTTCATGACATCTTTACTAGCAATTTCGGCTAGTCGTGCTAGTGGTGGTCACCTTCAGCATGTGCTAGAAGGCCTGGGGACCACAAAAGCGTGGTCGCGGCTGCGTTAGACATTTGAACAGTTAAGACCAATGAGAAAATAGAGGAAAACGTTGGGGTATTTTTGAGTTGTCGCCATGTACAAGAACCCAGTCGTCTTCACGAGTGTGTTTATGCGCATTAAGGTATCTGCCGTCTAACCACCTATGAATCACAGCTGCAACAAACGTGTGGAACTGCAGTGGTTAATGTGCAGCATCCATCTTTGCAACACGACTTCATTTTAAATCGATCACTCCATTGGATGTGCTGCGAATTTGCTACGAAAGCTACTTGCGATTCACAGCTGCAGTAGGGAGTTACTGGTCTACTGTTTCGGTTTCACCGCATGGGGCCACATTTTGGCGTAAAGTGGCTGTCCATATCTGCGGTGTTTTTGAAAGGTGTAAGTCTTTGCAGTTCTTGCTTGGGGATAATCACAATACACTGTTCTCAGCTGTTTCTTTGTCTCCATTGCTGGCCCCTGGCGCAGCGCATGTTAGCTCCAGTACCGCTGGAGTCTCGCCACCGGCACCCCTGTCACCGCAGTGCTCAGTATACTCTAGTCATTGACAACCGCTTATCATGTTCTGATGTCCTTGGCTGTTCCGCATACTGCTTCCTGCGCTTCTTTCCCCACTGTGCACGCCGTCTCCCTACGTACGTTTAACGCTTTTCCGGTTCCATCACTCCATATCGCTGCATCGGACGGGCAACTACGTCGATAACACTCTCGTCGAGCCCAACTAGGCCTGGAAAATAGGGTCACGAACCGTATAGTGATTCTCGAGGCACTTTTGCCAATTTCAGTCACTTGTGGCTCAGGTGTGACATCACTCTCGTCCTGACAGATAGCCGTTTCTTCAGCCCTCCTGTACGATTTTGGAATCTGGTCCCTCAGATCGACGGACATAAAGAGGATAGTTACGTTCGACTATCCTTGCCTTCGCAGTTTAGTTTCATGTCTGGTGTGGTCGCCGCGTGAGTAATGAGCGTGTTCGGCTTCTTGTATTTGGTGTAGGAACAGCGAATGAACTGCTCAGCACCGTTATATCACGCACCAGGCATCGATAGCTGTGCTACGTGTTGCACATGTCAGCACACCGATTCTCGCGACGTGTGTCGTTTACGCGCCGGAGTGTGCGTGGAGGCAGAGGAGGAGAGACCATCTGATGACAGGAGACTTTCACTTTGAAGTTGGCCTCAGTTGCAGTCTCATGACTGCATGGTTGAGGCTTGAATGACGATGAACACGTTTGCTTGTTGACCTAACTAGGAGCGAACCTCAATGGCGTTTGTGTTATGAGTTCCTTCGTCCCTT